ACATTTTTTAATTTAGTTCTTATCTTCCTTTCCCACACTTGGAGTCTTGATAAGCTGTGTTTCTTTTAGAGACATTATTTTAAACATCCCTGGTTTGGTTGGGGTTTTGTTGTGGTTTTTTTTTGGTCTTATTTTTGTTTGTCTTTTTTCTAGTGTAACTTTAAAATTGTTTTTGTTCTGTGAGCTTTTTATGTCTTCCTTTTCCCTGATTCTGGAGATAATTTCCTTTATTTAGTCTTTGAAAGGGTAGGGGCTGTGAATTAGGAATAATTTGATTATTCAAGTTTTGCACAACTGATTGGAAAAAATTTTGCAAGGCAATGTTAGCATGAAGTCCAAGTATGTTTCTTTTAATGAAAATGCATGCTTTGCCTCAGGGACATTTGAACAGAAATGTGTTCATACAAATGCAACAGAATTTGAATTTGTACCATGTCTTCTCACAAAATTAAACCCATAAGGCTTCACAGAATCAAATGATATAGTAAAAACATTGCAGTAAATATGTAAATGATGAGAAACAGCAAAAAAGCAAGTAATTGCACAAGCAATGGAACTTATGAATACTGTTTTACAGGAATTTGTGTGTTGTGGTTTGATTCTCTGATGTCTCTGATCAAAGCACTTTTTTCGTCTACAGTTTTCATTGTTTCTTTATCATGTGAATTTGTTGAGCACATATAAGCTCCATTTCAGCATTTTTTTTGGTGTTGAGCACAAGTAGGTTCTTGTTCTTCTACCCATCCTGTAGTTTTTTATTAAACTCTGTAACTTCATAATGATGCTAATTCTGTTCTGTTAAATTTCTTGAAATTTGGTAGAGAGTTGATGGTTGTTTTTGAAAGATGGTGGGACAGGCAGGTAAACACCTGAAACTGACTGTATTAAAAGCAAAAAGAAGCCTATTCAGACATGCAGGTTACATATGGCCTCCTTTCAAGGAATCAAGCCCACAGTTCTCTCAAGTGAGATTTATGGTTAACTACTACAAAGGCACTTTTTTCCAAAGCTGGCTAAGTCAACTCTGCAGCACAGAGCTTCATGTGTAAATAAATGCCAAGATATATATGAATGAAAACCTATATATGCTGAATCTTTGAAGCAAGTATGTATAAGATACATCAAAAAGGAAAATTTTAGTGAGGTGGTTTTCAATAATGCATTTATTTCAAACAAGAATAACTGGATTATAAAATTAAAGTCTACAAAGTTTGAGGTTGAGATGTGGGACTGTATATAAGTGAAAACAGTCAATGAAATTTTAGACTGGATTTAGAAAAGTTGAGGATTACAAGGTCCACAAAAGAGAAGACTGGCCAGTAGGTGGAGAGAGGTCGTTCTTCCCCTCTACTCCGCCCTGGTGAGGCCACATCTGGAATACCGTGTCCAGTTCTGGGCTCCCCAGTTTAGAAGAGACAGGGAACTACTAGAGAGAGTCCAGTGGAGGGCAACAAAGGTGCCTGGGGGATTGGAGGAATGTATGAGGAAAGGCTGAGAGAATCGGGGCTCTTCAGCCTGCAGAGGAGAAGGCTGAGGGGAGACCTTATTAATGCCTGTACGTATCTAAGGGGTGGGTGCAACGAAGATGGAGCAAGACTCTTTTCAGTAGTTCCCAGTGACAGGACAAGGGGCAATGGGCACAAGTGGAACATAGGAAATTCCATTTAAATATGAGGAAAAGCTTCTTTATGGTGAGGGTGACAGAGCACTGGAACAGGCTGCTCAGGGAGGTTGTGGAGTCTCCCTCTCTGGAGATATTCAAGACCCACCATGCAGTCCTGAGTAATGTGCTCTAGGGGATCCTGCTTTAGTGGGGGAGCTGGGCTAGATGATCTCTAGAGGTCCCTTCCAACTCTGACAATCTCATGATTCTATCATAGTTAAATAGATTTTGGTTATGATGAAAAAATGTTATAAAAAGTGTAAGAACTAATCTGAAACTCCTGGAACAGAGATTCTGTCATAGGCAGAAAAATGCTGAGCTTGGTTCAGCTGAGAGGAATGCAAACACCAGATATCAAAATATCTAGAAAATAGGAGAAATATGGAAAGTGACTTGTGGAAAGTTGTTCTGATGTAAAAAAAGAAAGCAGCTTCTGTGAGACAGCAGAGCAAAATCCCAACTAAACCTACACTGGTTTTGATGCACAAAGAGAAATGCCAGGGTGATTATTTTTTTTTTTTGCAGAACTTGGCAGAAAAAGAAAAGGCTAAAATTAAACATGGTTGGATTTCAGAGTTATGAAATACTTTTTGGTTCTTTTGGAAAGGTAGCTTTTTTAAAATTTAGGGTAGATTCAATACCAGGAGGAATACCTACCGTTATCATTGGGAAGAACAGGACAGAATGAAAAAAAATAAGTACCTTAGTAAGTTTTGCAGAATTATTTCCCCCCCAGCTTACTGTAATTGCCACATCTTTTAACACTCTTTTTTCTTTGTATTGAGTGGGAGCAGCAGGCGCCATTGAAAACACAAAGGAGCATGCATGGAAAAACAGTCTGTGATCTCCAAGACCTTCCTCTCAGTGTTATTTATGCTCTGTCTGTCCTTCCACTGGCTGGAGGATATGGAATGAGGACCACAAATTAGTTTTTGCAGGCTTTGATCCCTAAGTAAACTTCGAAAAATAATTCTAAAACATTCTAATAACCATGTCTCACATAGATACTTTATCCTCTTCTTTAGCTAAAAAGTTTTGTAGTTTATAATGCTGCCACTAATGCCAGTCAGCTCTTTGGGAATTAGGAACATTTTTTTTCCATCTAGGCTGAACTGGATTAAGGTGTGCTTTGTGTGTACATGCATATATCTTTGTCATGTAATAGAACCAGATATTGGTTTGAAAGCAATAGGTGTTTGAGTATTAATAGTGGAAGGAAAACATTAGTTTTCCATTAGCTGTGGTTGGTATCAATGCTAGTAAAGCCTAAAAATGGTCTGTTTCAACATCTGAAACTTGCAGGTACATGTTGTGTTTTCTTCTCTCCTGGATTCTCTCTACTGCTCACTGTCTTATATAGAGAGGTAGAAAAGATTGCCTCTGAACAATCAGATTATTGGTTTGCTGGTATAGTCTGAATTTTTTGGTTCATCTAACCATCACATAAATGAAAGAAGAGGGGAATGCACACAAAGCTTTTCCCTGTCTTGAAATAAAGAGGGGGCAATTTACAACTTAAATCCATTCCTCATGTCTGCTTTGTCTGTTTTCTGTTTATCATCTGCTCAATACATTTCATTGAAGGAGTGAAGGTGTCAGGATGTGAAGAGACTTAGTAATTCAACTGTCTCAAAGAAAAGGATTGTTATTCATTTGCTATGATTTTTATACAGTTGGAGGATGAAATGTTTGAATTAAATTCAGCCGTGTCTTATTCAATACCATGCTCTTAGACACTACTATAGAGCACTGTCAGAAGACTGTATTTAGGTTTATAACATATGAACAAAAACTTGTATGTATTTGTACAGGCATATATGTCACAGACAAAAGCACACAAAAATACATAAACCAATTTAAATAATTTTTAAATATACTTTAGAAGATTTGTGTGACTGTAAAAATTTAGGAAACTTATGCAGCAGAAGTCACTGTAGGCACTAGCTTTTTGACCTTTTAAATAAAAATATGCAGGATTATATCTTTCATTTAAAATGTAATGGATGTTTAAAAATATATGGGATTTTAATTACTGCTTCTTATCTTGGCACAATAGATGATGATAGATTTGTGCATGAGGCATATTATATATGACACCATACTATTTAATTCCACTATTTAATGAAAGGCTACCTATTAAAATTTTTTATAGCCAACAAAGGAATCTCTTGCCATGTAACCATAATAGGTGGAAATAATACGTAAATAACCAATTTACATCTATGCAAGCAATATTTTCTATATATTATAGCACTTGTACAGTTAACAAAATCTTTGAACATCATGAGACTAAGACAAATAACTCTAAGCATAAGGCACGAAACATTGGTGTGCAAATCCCACTGTTACGGACTTTCACAGTTTTGCATCCACAATGACTATAACCTCATGCTCACAATGTGTATAGTTGCTATGATAATAACCATATTCTTAGAACTCTTTGAACAGCTTTAATAAAGCTTCATTGTGTTCCACGGACCCTCATTTTGCTATAGATTTAACACAGCTATAGTCTAGATAGGTTAATGGATTCATATAGTTTAAGAATTAACATGGCAGATTAATTAAAAACACATTGTAAGGTACTCCTCTATGGGCATCTTTCATTCTTCTTGCTGATACCGATTGTTTATTATGTTTGTTTTGTACAGAGCTTTAGAATAAATAACACAGTATAGGACTGTATTATTAATACCGCTTTTTTATTAATCTGTGCCTAAGTGCCAAATGTTGATGCTACTTTAAATGGTCTCTTCCTATTTTTGAGTACTGAAGTGCTACAAATGTGAACTGCTCAGCTAATGTCCTGACCCATTGTAACATAAGTAAATAAAATACTGGTGTGGACCAAAACATTTTCCAACATAAACTTGAAAAACAACAACAACATGCAAAACATACTGGTGCTTGGAATATATCCTCCACACAAATAGAAGTTAAAAGACATATGAGCAGAGAGAAAATATAGTCACAGACAGATTCCATTTTTTTATCTTCTGAAAAAATCTGGAGTGTTTAATTCTAGGTGACAATTAGGTAAAGTTTATTTTACAAGTCACAGATACTGGACAGTTCCTGCTTGGTTCAGAAGAGCGAACCACCTGTGTAGTTCAAGTCAGTTTTTTGGTGTCATAAGCACATCAATATAATTTTCAGGGACAGAATTGCCATCCAGTGGATCTCAGTTCACAGAAAATCACAGTTACAGTCAATCTACTGAGTCACCTCTAGAATGCACATGTCTGAATTGATTATGGAACAGTCACTGGGTTTCTTGTTCAAATAGCTTTGACTTTTTTCCGGTCTGATTCTGAAGTGGTATCAAAGTCCTTAATTTTCAGTTTATGCTGTCTTTATGGCTGCTTCGATCTGTATTGTGATTGTTTATTTCTTGATTTTTCCACTGAATGCTGGTTCCATTCATAGGCACTGAAGTCACTAGACTCTTAGATTGAGAGCAGCAACAGCAAAGACATGACTGGAAATGAAAAGAAAAACAAAGGTAAACACAAATCTATCAACTCTATGCAGATTTCCAGCCATATTTTTCATTCAGACATGAACAGACAATTCCACCTGAAGGAAATTATAGCTGCACTCAGGCAATTTTTTTTTCCTAGGATGCAAACAATTCTTGTGATTAAATATCACAAACCCAGCAGGCCTGTGTCTCTTATTTAAGATAAACTTTCATAGTAGCAAAAGGGAAATTTGTTTGACTAAAGTAAATAGATTGAGAGCTATCAGAACTCAATATATTTTGTAAGAGTTGTTTTTTTCCTATTTATCACTGTACTTTCAAACTTAGGGATCAGCAGGGTGCTTAGCATGTAAGTGAAAAGAAGAAAATTCCCTGGTCTGTGACTTAGGTCTGTTCTCAAAGTTGTTTAGGAAAAGAGAAAGTGAACATATTGAGGTATATAACTTTTCACAGTTAAGAACAGGTCACTCAGGATCATGCTCCTAGGCTTGGATGTTCACTTCTCTCTCCTGAAAGGAGCAGAAAGAATCTTTCAGCTATCTTCCTTCCACTAAACTAGTGCCTAATTCAATGTAGATGGATTCTGCACTTGAGGGGAAAGATTTAGGGCTTCAGAGGAGCAATGGTTGTAACAGCAGTAGAGTAGATCCATGACTTTTGTGAACTCAATGAGAAGGGAGTGTTGCAGAGAGGTAAAGCCAGACTGATGATATATGTACTGTCTATGGGAGGGTATGTAAAAAAGCAACAGAGGTAAGAAACTAAAATTGAAAGGTTGCTTGTATTAATGACCATGATATTAGAAGGGAAATGGTGAGCTAAAACAAGGATCTGGGAAGAATTAATAGGTGAGAATTCTTTAATTAGAGCTGTTGGATGGTAATTTTATTTGGAATGACAAATGGAAAGAACAAGCTAATGATATGATGAGCAGCTTGGGTAGTACTTACTGTTACTACTCCCTTTCACCTGAGGATAGTTCAGGACATTATCCTCTCCATAGTTCTCAAATGAAGTTAGGGACCATAAAAAGCAAAGCTGACTTATTTATGATGTGAAAATACTCCCTTTAAATAGTTTTTAAGCCCGAGTAGGCTACAGATGAACAGGTATTCCCTATTTTAATAATGTAGTACATTTTTTCAGTAGCTAAAGTTAGAAGTTCAGTTGTACAGTCCTGTCATCTTTTGTTTTGCTTTGCAGATGAAACTATTTCAGTCTTCCTTTTTGATTTAATTACTTTATTTTCCACTCATTTTCTTTCTTTATTGCCTTTATTAGCTGAAAGGGGACTTGCAGATGTGCAGTGTCACAAGGACATTAGGCTTAAAATAAGCTTGCATGTGTAAGAACTGGAAAAACGCAGGTAAAAGCTATAATGCAATTTTAATTACCAAAGTCAACTCAGGTGCCTGCTTTGGTATTCAAGCCTGAAAATTTTAGTTGTTAATGGGATTGTTTAACTGTAGTCATCTCAGTGTCCTATGGATATTTTTTCTCTTGAGTGGGAAATGTTATCAACCAAATTAATACTTCACATACATGTCACATGCAGATAAATCTTACAAGAGCATGTTTATTTCAGTTTGCATGTTTACATATGAGGAGTATGTGAAACTTATTTACTGGTTTAGTGTTCAGATGAGGTGGATAGTTCCAGTCTGTTTGGTATGCATGCTATGCAAGCTACTAGCAGGTAAACTGGACAATCTATAATCTTTCATTCCTTTGCATGCTGCTTCTCCCAACTGCTAAAATAGGTAATAACTTAGTGGCTTAATACAGTTCATTAACTGGACATAAAATCTTATCAAGAAGATCTTACCTGGAAACAGTTTTTAAACTTCTTGCTCACAAAATACAGAGCTATTGGATTTATGCAAGAGTTCATGGTTGCCAGGTTGATACTGATATAATCCAATGGCAGCAAAAAACTAGGCAACAAATGAGAAAGCAAAACATTTAAACTGTTCATATACTGAAAAAGCATCTGTGTTCTTTGTGGTTACAAATCTCTCAGAAAATAATTCTCTTACCTAACCCCCTCAGTCTTGTACCATAGCAGGTCTATAATAACCTCTCTCAAATAAGTTAATAAAAGCCAGAGGAAAGAGATTGAAATGGTGACAAACATATACTGAAATAATGCTACCTAATTAAAACTGAAATCCCTGAAAATGGATGCAGCTGAATAGTCATAAAGTGCATGCTCTTCCAACACCACAGTTGTATGCACAATGATATTTCTCACAAACTCTTAAGTGTGCAGTGTTATAATTTTTTCAGTATAAACAGTTGATTGACATAGAAAATTAAGTACCTGAGCAGTTCACATCTGCTGGGGTCTCTTTCATTGTATACCATTTTCTTCAAAATTCGGCTCAAATGGAGAGGGAACCAGCAAAGAGCAAAAATCACTACTAAACAGAAAACTGTCTTTGCAACTTCTCGACGCTAGAAAAAGAAGTAAAGATAACAATGACTGAGTGCCTAATTCATATTGGTAGGTGATTATAATGTAGTGATGTTGTCAGCAAGGAAAGTCATGTAGTTAAGGCATGCAAGGATTCCTGAAGTGCAGCTTCCAGACTACCTGATGTCCCTGACCTGTTTTTTTCTGGGGCTTGTCATGTTCTTGATTCTGACAATCCTCCACAAAACCTGCTCATCAGAAACTGAAGCAACTGAAACACGCAGGTCATTGCCAAGACATCGAGGAGAATAGCCAAGGAAAATCCACTATTGGACTTTTCTGAACCTGATTACTTTTGCAGTCCTTGTTATTCCTCCACACTGGGTTAGTTTTCTGGCAATTCTGCAGATAAACTTACATCTTCAGAAACATGCGTAATGTGCAAGAAAACGTTCTTTGTGTATGAGGGAAAGTGGGATCACATCTGTTCGATAAATCACTTGTACCTAATTCTTGATGTGAAGCAGCCTATAATCCCAAGGCACCTTTATCAGTTGGTAAGAAAAGTTTCACTCAGCCACTCAGGATGTCAAATTCCCTCTGATGTGTAATTTTATATTTAGCATGCGGCATATTACACAAAGGGATACTGCACAGTATATTAATTTTGCTATGTGATCCTGACATTCTTAAGTAAATAGTTCCTCTACAAACAAATTTAGAAATGTCTGTGTTACAGCTTAATCTCATAATACTTTGTCAGGAAATAATTTGCATTTAATGGACACTTTATATGGCTCTAGAGATTTACAGATGTTTTAGTGGATTTTTGACAATGCGTACCAGTGGTGTTTGGTAGGCATGGATTTCATAAAGAGAAGCCTATGAAAGGGTAAGAATACCACTTCTGAAACTGTAGTGTAACGCTAACAAGCATTGCAAAGCTGTCATTGCAAAACCTAAATGTGTGATTAAAGTTGTTAGGGTTTGAGTATGACTACTCTTGTGTCTTCTTTCTTATAATAGCCATTTTTATCAAAATATGAAAAGGATCATGACTAGGCATTCATGTGGAGAAGTAAGGAATAAAGTAGGCAACAGGTGACAGTTAAAAAGATAAACATTTGTAAGCTGTGGCATAAAGTCATACACCAGCAGCCAGTCTGAGTAGCTTGCTGGGCACTGCATGTCAGGATGAGAAATCTTGGAGAGTGGTTTCCCCCATCCTATCCATAGTTCTAGTGGGTGGAGACGCTTGCATGTGGCCCTGGAACAAAAACACTGTTGCAGGCCCTGGGGCCTGATGAGTGGAAAAAGCAGAGTATCTGCACAAGGGGGAGGGTTTTCCAGTCTGCCCTGGTCTGGAATGAACAAGCAGAGGAGTTGTGGTACTGCAATAGTGCAATAACTCTGAAAAAATTCCACTCTATTCTAAACCAGGTTATTCTACAATTGCTTTTTCTATGAAACTAAAGTTGTATATTGCTGTGTGCCAGAAGTAGGGAGGACCTGTGGAGTCATATATTTATGAATAAAAAGAAACATTTATTTGGCACATCTTTGTAGTTAACTTTCAAAGTATTTAGCCAATAGTGATTTGAGGTTAAAGAACAGGAGAGCACAACTGTCATACTGTCATAAGAATAGAAAGAAACTGGCTAGTTTCCTAAGCATGTTGTTTTCAAAACCTCCTTATACTATGATTTAGTCCAGTGTTCTGGGTTTAAATTAATACATGAATGTAATAAATAAGCTACATCCTCACTTTCTATGTCTGTAATTTGCTGTATTCAAGTACACCTTGAAACATTTCTAAGCTAAGTCAGAGAGAAAAGAGCAGTGTTTTCAGATATTGCTGTTTCTAGTAATTACCTGCTTAAGGTGTTCACTGAGAGCAATTCTCAAGTTGCTGTTTCTTCTGTTTAACATCTCACAAGTCATTAGTGTATAAAAGATGGCAGTACATGCCAAGGGCATGCAAAAATAGAAACCAAACAGCCACCAATCCTTTGCATCTTTGTAAAACTGTAGATAAGGTAAAGAAAAGACAAGACATTTTCTTATAATTCAATGGAAAGTACCTCAGAAAGGTCTTGGAAAGCACGACAGTTGGTATGCTGCTATCTATCTGTAAACAACACATTATGTAAACTTACTGCTGATCTGTTTTGGACCAATATAAAGGGGAAATTGTGGTAGCGTCAACATTTATTTTATCTTGGGGATAGCCTGTCTGTACCTTTGAAATCTGTCTTGGGTTGGAATTTTTTTTTGGTCAGTTTTCTAAACTTTTATGCTCATTCATGAAAACTGGAATGCAGTTTCATGAAAAAGACATGCCACAATGTAGACAGTGTCAGTTTGAGATAACAAATTTTACTAAAAGCCTGTCTCAGGAAATGCCATTTACCTCTACAGCTTCTGTCCTGATTCCAAAAAAGGAAAATTCAAAATGTCTTCTAAGTTTAATCACCTTTTGTTATCAGTTAAAAGATTGGTAGTTAGTTTGCTTATATATGAGGCAGATAGGAGCCACTTCATAAGTGTTTGTCTGATATATGCAAGGCTTAGGACTGGTGGCTCTATTGGTACAGTTTATTTTAACTGCCTGCCATTTATATGATTTGCCTTTTGTGACAGGACAGTTAGGGACTTGATAAAGTAGGAGTAATTTTCTGTGTAATTTTAACAGTTAGTTGTGACTTAAGCTGTGGTTTAAGTTAGTACATTTATGTATTATGGGAAAAATTACTTTTTCAAAGCATTTAAAATTACTCTTTTCTGTAGACAAGTATATTTTCAGACTTAAGAAAATATTGTATCTTGTTTTTTAACTTTTATGCTCGGCCAAAAGTGTGCACTGAAATATGACCTTTAAAATACTTTCTGCCTCTGTTATTAGTCACTAAGATGGGTATGTGTAAAAGACAACGTTCTTTCTCATAATCTTTTTCTTAGCTTGTTTATTCCTAGATGATGTGCTTTAGTAACATCACAGTTCCCACACCAAATCTTAAAATGCTAGTAACAGGATTATATTAATCCTGTTTGAAAAGATAAAACTTTTCATATCTTGCTTACATTTAAAACTGAATGACAATAAAATAAAAATATATACAATAGACTAGTATTTAATAATGTTAATTTTAAAATCTACTAGAAAATTGATTTACTAAGAAAAAGGGATATTTCTCCCACTGCCCCAACGCAGTTAGCTGCTTACAGAGCTTGTTTATTTAAAATATGCTGCTGATATCTAGGCCACAACCCCATTTCACAGGATATTTTTAATTGTGTTTATTAACTTGTTTCCTCCTCAGTAGCCTCATCCCTGTGTGAGGAGGGGCTACAGTCTGCTGCATAGTTGCACTCTCCTTGGGGGCAGAATTTCCCCCACTGAGAACAGAGCTGCTGCCAGCAGAAAAACAGAAAATAATATGCCTCATATTTGAAGAGTTTGTACTGAGGGCAAATCGAATTACCACTTGTGCAGAGAACAGAATTACAAATGCATGAAGACAATTATATTTTTTGTGGCAAATTCCTTAAAGTCTGGCTAGAATCATACTGGTTGGGCAGCACAACAAAATGTGTACCATGTGAATCCCTGCTATGTTTACAAGGAAAACTTTGTCTTGTCAGTCTACTAGCTTTTGTGTGCACTGCCTATCAGTCAAGAAGACACACATGGAGCTCTGTGTCACAATCCTGACCACCCCATCTATCCTGAAAGAGGACCTGGTTTTGTGAAGTTATAAAACCTACATGAACATGTCTGTAAATGATTAGTTGTGGAATCTGAGTTTCACAAAGCTTACATCAAAGCACAAAATCGAGATGATTTAAGAGAAGTAGACATTCTTTTGTTTGTCTTGAAAGCCCACATGGAACTGGTTTTCTACAGGAAATGTGCATTTTAAACAAGCTTCCTAGTGCACTCAGGCTCTTGGGAATCGTGGTCTAGCATGAATCTTTTAAGTCTTTCAAGGATAGCTTTAAACATGAGTAAAGCTCTAAAAACAAAAGTTAATCATAAATCCTTCCCAAAGTTTAGTAATTGTTTATTGTGGTGGTTGTGGTAGTAAATACTGTAGTTAAGTTTAAAATGGTAATTCCATTTTAATCTGATGTTTGTATTTGATTGCAACACATTGAAACACAATGTGCAATTTTGACAGACATGTCCAACATTTACTCTCAGCTTGAACATAAATGCTGGTTTGTTTCCTTGAAAATTAAACTGATGTGAGGATGTTTGGAGCTTTTGAATTTTGCTGAGCAAGAAAAAGTTACTAATTCCTGTTAATAAAACAAAATAAACTATTCTACTTACCACATTTAGAGCAGAACAATAACCATTTAAGTTAGCATGCCTATGGAAGACCTGAACTGTGGTGCTTTTTAGAAAAGGGAGGGGAAACTATTCTTTTTCTTAGGGAGAGAGGAAATGAAGATTGTCTAGGCATATTTGTGGAGAAAAACAGTCATAACAAAAGGGGAATTTGCTGCAGTGTGCATTTAATAAATAATTCTTATAATGACAGTATCTAGTCATATAGTTAGAGTTTAGTAACAAAAGTATGGGAAATTCCACTTTATCTTCAACTGTATTGTTTCCATTAGGGAATACCTTCTGTTTTCTCTTGCAATTATCTTTTTCTCTTTCTGCCATCCCTGCATTCTCCATAACCCTACCACAATTGGAGATGTTCCTCTGAAAAGCACTGTCATCCACACTTAATTTTTTAAATATTCTAACTCCATTTTGCCCTATCCTTTCAAATTTTAGCCCAAGACCTGCTCTGATCCAGTAAGAGGAGAAGTACCAGAGGCTCAAAAAAGAGAAGCTTGCACTCTATGATGAAAAATTCTAGTCTGTAAAAATAAGTTTTCTTCAAGATTTAAGACCTTGCAGTATCTGCGTTCTCTGAGACAAAACAAAATATTGCTCTTTTTTTCATTACTGGATGAATGGTGGCTGGCTCTTCTTTGGGTGCACAGAGAAAAAATTAAGATACTACTTTTCCATTTTCTTAGTGCAAAGAAAAGTGGAAAATCATTATGCAGTAAAGTTCTATTAATTCTGTAGAGGCTACTCAGCTGACTTGCTTTGAACAAGTTAATGTGGGTATTGGTAACTGATAAGCTGCAGAAGCACAGAAGATGAGAGCTATGAAAGTGTCTCAGGCACTTCTCTAGGTCTTGAGTTGCTGTATCTAAATGACAGCTAATAGTGCCTAAGCTACCTAGTTTGGAGGTGTGTCTGTCAAATTTGTAGTCATGTTTTCTTGTAAATGAAGGGATTATTCTCACTTTGACTTTTTAAGTGCATACAAAATAGGAAAAGCTATGTTAGAGCATGGCCCTACCCTTTTCTTTAGCTGCCAAAAAAGCTGGCTACTGCATGCAAATTGATGACTAATAATGGTAAAACATGGGTTTTGACAGTTACAAGCTCCAATGTGTTATATGTAGAAATACAATAGTTTCCAAGACTCTGGCTACTCTGATACATCTCTTAATTATATTTCAAGCAGGCCTGAATTGCAAATTTTGGTATTAGGTACCCTTGGTAGTAAAGAGGCAAAGATGTTGTAAAGTCCCATTTAATATCTCTGGCTGAAAACAGAGACAGGTCATTGTAAGTGAAGGAATGTCTTCGCATCTATAGAATACATTTTTCACTTTAATGGAAGAATAAAGCACATTATAATCCAGTATCTTAAATGTCTAACCTATATACTCTGGATTCTAAAAAGAGAAGAAAAGTTACTTACCAACATAAACTTATTTGTAGGATTGAGCATGCAGGTAACATAACCTTCATCCTTGTATCTGAAAGGTACCACAGCAAACCCAATTGCTTCTGGAATAGCCAGTATGAAGGACAGAAGCCAAATGGAGAAAATTTCAATAGCAGTGATCAAAGGGATTCCAATTCCCTGAACACGGCTCCAGGAGGCAACTGCCCTATACCTGAAAGAGGCAAGCATTAGTTTCTAACCTTCAGTTTCTTTCTGAAATTCAAAGATCTTAGTTCACTTTTATATATTAAAATTCTAAAGCTGATGTCTTGGAATTTTATTGCTTGTTCTTTCTACCTGTTTCAGGGGCTCTGCCAGCTCTCAAGCCACATAGGACACAGCAAAGCACATCAAGGGGTGGGTTGCTTAGAGCTGGCTCCAAGTGTTTTGCTTAGGCACAAGAGTGTATGGAGTTCTGCCATGTGGACTACACTAATGACTTCTAATTGAAGTAGGCACTATATCAACTGACATAACAGAAGAAAAAAGCTTCCATGCACACAAGCCATTCTAATAGAAAACATCTACCTCCTTCAGTTTCCTTAGCTGTAACAGCAGTGCTATCTGAAGTTGTCAGCTTCCAAGCAATGAAATACTGTGAAAATACCCTTCATGGAATGAAACTGCATTTGTTCTACTTACACTATTCAAAGTTAAAGACTGAGTTTGTGCAGCATGTTCTGTATTTGCCATAGACTACAACTGAGTGCTAGTTAGGATTGTCTGGCAGCTATCTCTATCTCTGCATCACTTTTCTGATGAGAATTTGAAGATCATGGCTAAGAAGTCTGTACATGCCCAAACTAACATTTTCCCACAACTTTATCCCTTAGATAGCAAGTTTCTCTGTAAGAAGAGGAATTATTGCATTCTGCTTTCCCATGTGTATGCATCTCATAACTGTAATCTTGGTAAAAGGTGAAAATTCTTAAAGAAGTTTAAAATGAAGCCCATGCATTTCTGGCTTTTCTAGATCTTCTTCTCACCTTCTCTGTCCCTCCAGTATTGGGGGATTTTTGTTACCAGGTTTCAGCCTTTCCCCCAGTTGGGGAACTGAGGGATCTTTCTCCTGAGAGGGTTTTTCTCTATTTGTCTGCCAGTTTTCAAGGAATTTGTAGAAATTTATTAGCTTAGAGATCTCAATGTCTCTGTCAACTCCAGTCAAAAGTTTCAAAAATTATTTGGAAAAGACTGGGAGGCATACAATACTGAGTACAAACCAGTCCATAAAAAAATTTTTTCAGCAGCAGACTTAGCTGTTGTCTAGCAATAATGACAGTAAACAAGTTACTTAGCTTTTCCAACAATTTAACAAAGGCAGTGCTATGTAAAAACTACGGAAAAAGCAAGTATTTTTTTATCTTGTAATAATGAAATGTATACTGGAGAGCTTTCTGTTATTGGTGATGTAAGTTTCTAAACTGCTTATTTTACTTCCCCAAAATAATAGCACCTTCCCATTTGGAATTACATATATACATATTACATGTATATATCTCATAGCATCTACTGATGAAATAGTCTTGTTCAGTTGAGGAGAAAAAATGTCAAGAAAGGTCATTTGTCTGCTTTAAAAAATGTCAGAATAAGAAGCCACTGAAGCAAATTATAAATTGTAAGGAGGTGTGCCATTTTATTGTCCTGTCTATGGCAAGTATTCTTCTCTTTCTGAGACACACACTCATTTTCTGCCCTCTAGACTCCTGGCAGATACATTTGGGTATGTGCAGCTGCCACTGCAATTTTTAACACCTTTCCAAGGCATGAGACAAGGTTAGGCTTTACAGAGAAAATTAAATGGGTGGTGATTTCAGCTAATGACAGCAGCTAATTGGAGTACAAAAGGGCATACCAGCAGGCACAGGGAAGGTGAAAGGTATGGGGAAAGGAGATGTAACAATGTAAGTTACATCTATACTATAGTCTGCCTGCTAAGACCATAGTGAGTGTTCCCAGTTTTGGGAGAACTGCAAAGGCAAGAACAAAGTCTGTCAAAACAGTAAAACATACTGTACCTGTCCACACTAAGGGCACAGAGGTTAAGGACTGTGATTCCCACTGATGCCTTCTGTATAAAGGGAAGGAATTTGCAAAGAAACTGTCCAAATTCAGAATCTCCAAAAGGCCACTTCTGAGCAAGGAGCTAAAGAGAAGATATAAAATAATCAGAATATTTATAGAGTAACTTAGCAAGTATTTAACAGTTGCAGTTATTTTTTGTCTTAGACACAGCAGGTGTCATGAATTTTCCATACCTCAAGCATATCCTAGATAAGTGAGTGAGCCTGGGAAGTAACTGCTACTAGGGAAGCACAGAAAGTGAAAATTTAAACTTAGATGCTGACCTTGTACTGTGGTAATATTAACTTGCATTGCTAAAATATTTTTTATTATTGTGCTTCTGCCACCCTTACTGAATAATGAAGATTTAGCTCAGCCCTGTCATAAGTGATGGTATTTACCATGTCCCAGAACCACACAGTCAAAGCATAGCTCACAGTTCATAATGAAATACCTCAGAGCCAAATTCTCATGCTGCGCTCAAAGAGATTCTTGTAATTGTAAATGTACTGCTATGTAACTCATGACAGTATTCACTGCCAGATTCTGAACTGTGTGGAGAAAATATTGTACATATATAATTTGTTCCATACTGTGTTTTAAAGGACTTGCATCACACATACATGTGGGCTGTTACTACAAGGCAACATAAACTTATCCATTTGGAAAGATGTGAATGAGTGGCTGGGGTGTAGATCAGTATTGCCAAGGAGGCACTTACATAACAAATGTGTATACATTGATTCATGTGAATAGTCATGAATAATAATCTAAACAGTTATCTTTGTAGCTGTAACTGTTAAAGCTCTGAATAAGTATATATAAAAAATTCAGGATACAAAATTTTTCAGGGTAATCAAATCTACAACTGATTAGAGTGACAGAGGAGATCTCTTTTCTGGGAGCCTGGCAGTAAAATGGCAGATTACATTCAAGTAATGGAAGTGCAATAAGTGAAAGATTATTCACTCTGTACAAACTACAGAGCTTTAAATGAACACCACTTCCCCTCCCCATGTCAGGGGGTTGGCACTAGGTGATCTTTAAGGTCCTTTCCACCACAAACCGTTCTGTGATTCTATGATCTTACGGTCATCATGAATGGTTCTCTTGAAAAACCAAATTACTAAGCCTTCTCGCCAAAGGGGAAGAGTCACTCTTGCACTACTGTTTTTTTTAATCTTCCCTAAATCTCTGCTACTGAGCTGTTGTCAGGGGTAGGATACTGAGTAAGAGGTAAGACTCATTCTTTGTGTTGTATAGCCCAACAGTTCTTACGCTCTTACAAACTTCTGTTAAAGTGGTTGTGTAGTTGAAAACATTAGATTTGAAAGGAAAATGTAAAGTGCTTGAGCCAGATATATAACTCTGTCAGTATCCTATTAAATGTAATATCCCCTATATAAAAATGCAGTAAAAACACATCCAGGGATGGTGACTCAACCACCTCCCCGGGAAGCCTATTCAAGTGTCTAACCACTCTTTCTGTGAAAAAAAATACCTAATGTCCAGTCTAAACCTCCCCTGTTGCAGCTGGAAGCCATTCCCTCTTGTTCTATTGATAATTACCAGAAGAAGAAGAGACCTGTAGACAGCACCAACCTGTCTACAATGACCTTTCAGGTAGTTGTAGAGACTGATGAGGTCTCCCCTCAGCCTCCTCTTTATCAAACTAAACGTTCCTAATCATTGTATCAAGGAGGGAGAAAAGACATTGGAAAAAGAAAGGGTGATTTGAATCCATGTTAATTTTCCAACTAGTTGTAGTCACATGGAATTTCATGGGATTTCAGCTCCAGACTCTTGTCTGTTTTGGGGTAAAATCAGAATAGTTTTCAGGCACTGCTGGGTGAAGGTTAGATTACAAATGGCATTTCCAGGAGAAAGAGGCCCTAGCAGACTTTTGTCAATCCCCTGTGCTAACCAGAGCCCCAAAACTGATTTATCACTGTAGATCACACTTTAAAAGGCAGCTGAAAGATAGCCACCTATTCATTAATGTTCATGGACTGTGACTGCAGTGTATACTTAGCAATAGAGCTGAACAAGTACTTTGTAGTGACTGTGAAACTCTGTTACTACAAGGCAAATACTAGCTTCAAAAGGAAGAGTGGTGTACTTGAAAAAGGTTCACTATCTCATTACTCCTCACAGGGAATCTTTGTCATGGTTCCAGCACATACACATTTTCCCCACACTCCAGGAAACTCTCCTTTTAAAGATTAAAAATATTTTATTCCTTTTGTTTCTTACACTTTTCCTCTAATTGAAGAAATATCAGTACCAAATCAGTAGATGTTCCTTTTCAAATTGATTTTAATCAAAATCATTGGGTTCAGAATGAACTTATTTGATTTTTTAAATTAACTTCGCAATCATTTCTATGTGTATACTCCATTATCATTCCACATCAACTATGCATTCGTTGGATCTGGTGCCATTTTTTTCTTCTATAGATATTTTTAGTTGGCAAATCTTATCCTGCCTTTGGTTTTACTAGATTTACATGAAAATAAGTCCATTGCCCCCAGTTCTGCCCCAGCAAGGTACAGAAACTTCAGAAGGGAATAACATTTTTTTGTTTGTTTTGTTTAAAAAAATGGGCCCAGGAATTTAATTGAATTAGTCCTGATTTAATTAGGTACATGGGAACTGGGACTATTGGCTCTGCTCTGCCAGAGCTTTTGCATGTTTTTATATCCAAACAAAATGTGTATAAAATTTTATCAGATTACATTTTTTCTAAAGACATGAGGATAGAAGAAATCAGACTGATTATCCCAATTTGTAAGCCGGTTCTCCATGACTTGGTCAAATGGATTGTACTTTTGCAAACCCACTCACAAAATCTCTGAGGTTTCAAAATAAGACATGTTGCAAAGGAAATGCTCTTTTCCCCTGGAACAGTTTGCAATTTAGGAGCATTTCATACAGTTCAACAGTGGTGCAATTCCTGAGCGAGAAAATATGACAGTCAACAGCATATTTTTATGCTGAAATCAGAAACCAAGATTTCAAGGTTCTGCTGTTGGTCCTAAAAAACCTCAGCGAAGTGACCAGACAGCCACAGTTTCCCTGAGAATCCTCCTTTCTCTGCTGCTTTATATAGCCTCTGCCCTGATGCTGCAACTTGAAACAAACAAGACAGCAGTGCTGAGAACATTCCTTTGCAATGATTTTTAAATGTTACTCAGTTGATTTTATTGTACTGCTGTTGCTATTTTCTAATTAGTATGCTAGCTGATGTACAAACCAGCAAGTCCCACTATGCATCCCAAGGAATTTATATGCAATTTTAAAGAGAGAATGTTATAATCCAACCACATGAGTATTCACCAGTACATGCTTATGTGCATCCAGAGTGTTTATCTAATACTAGGCTGATAATGTATCTTTACAGGCAGATTATGACCCTGGAGCTCAGCTGAAAATAGGCGAACTGGGTTAGGTGCTGGATAGGAACCAGCTCTGAGCTACTCTATAAAAACTGCTTCAGTTCAACAGCTACGTGTCAGGAGGCCCTCTCTCTTTGCCACATGGCACTGAGGATGAGAGCAAAGACTTCACACTTGCCTTTTCCTGCACTGTTCTCAGTCTAGTGCTCCTTGTTCTATATCCAGTTGGGATCACTGTTGTGCTGACACACAAGATCTGTTTCCCTGAAACTGAGCTGTGTTTCATCCTAGTAGTGCTTCTCCCTCCTGCTGTCCCCATGCAGGATATTCTGCTGGGTGTCCTGGCATTTAGGGTGTTCAGTGATACTAATGAAACAACTCTGGCACAACCCTGGTAGTTTCTGCTCTGTCTTCAG